GGGTTAAGGATCATGCTCTTCAATTTAGACCATACCATCACAAATTATCATAATCAAGTTAAAATATATGTTAGTATATTCATTATTTCCTAAATAAACCATAAATAACTCTGTTCATAACATCAAATTCATAATTGAATGATACCCATTTAAAAACCCAACTTTTAGAAATACTTTGAAGGATCCTTTTGAGGAGAGCAGTCTCAAAGGTGAATTAGATCCCACACCTTAACGTTTTATGAAGATTTTATGGTGAAGTAGTACCTTTCATCCCCTAAAACCTCACCCTAGCGTGTCTTCAATGGTGTGTTCCAAATAGAGAGAGAAGAGAGAAGGAAGAGATTTTATTTTGTGAGTTGTGTTTAGACTAATGAGAATTGGGGCCTTTATATTGGGGCTTAATTAACTTAATTAGACTCCCATAAACACTAATTAACCACCTAACCCCTTAAATAATTAAATGAACTAACTTAAAACCGTGCAGGAAAACTTGACCCTCACAGATGAGACCCTAAACGACGGGCCGTTTGTGAGGCGACAACATGCTCCCTCTCGGTCCTCCACTCTCATCGTTTTTGTTAGATACTTGTCTAGGTGAGGGCTTTCCCATTTTGTTTAAGTGTGAGATAACAGTTGGCATCGATTCCCCGTCGATCCACACACTATCCGTTCCTTAAGTTTCATGGTTGCACACTGCCCAGGCAGTGTTGTCTCCTTCGTGTCAGGGTCCTCCTCAAGGGCCCTTAGTTGGTCCTTGGGGAGTCGTACAAGGATATTTCAACCACAAATCAGCTTACACACATGTTATGCACCATTCTACATGATTTCATTAAGTTCCGACTCCTAAAATCTAGTAAAATAGGTTAAGGAACGCTTGTATGTCCTTGAACCAAATTTCGAAACGTCATGGACACGCTTTGACGTTTTGGTTTATAAACCTCCTAAAAGACTTTTATTCAAGATTATAGTCCTACAAATAGTGTCTAGACCTAAAGACACCTATGTTAGTCTCACGACAAGTCTTTGATTTTAGAACTGTTACTTTATGCCCCCTTAGGAACATTTGTCCCCGAATGACACTAAAATTCTTTTGAAAGAAGGAATACACTCAAGACTAGCAGCCCAACCAATCAAAAATATCAAAAAATATATAAATCATATAATTTAAACAAGGTAATTTCAAAGAAAATACAACTACCACACATAAGTCCCAAACACATCATCATGAGGCATTTCCTTCTCACAACACCCATGATCTCAATAAATATTACATGAGCCAATAAGCACAAAGTTTAACTTATCAATAGGTCACATAACTTTTCACTAAGACTCGCCATGTCAAAATTCACAACATATCCCAAACCAACCAAAAGGAAAAATTTGATGTTCTAAGCACCAACTATATTATTTCACTGTAATGCAACCCAAAAATGCATATTTTTGCAAGACTTCACCAAACATCATGAAACTTCAATTTCTAGTCATATAAATATTATTAACAAAAATAACTAATGTTGATTATCAAAAATATGAGGGCAACGGGACTTCAGGTCGGCCTCGACCTCCCATGCTGCACCGTTAACTAGGTCATTTTTCCATAACACTTTTATTGAAGCCACCTCTTTATATCTTAACTTCTTGACTTTCCTATCAATAATTTGAACTAGAACTTCCTCATAAGAGAGGTTATCCTTGAGACAAAGACCTTTAATATGAAGAAAACACTCGGGATCACCAATACACTTTTTAATCATGGAAACATGGAAAACCGGATGATGAAGCCAATTCACTAGGAAGTTTCAATTCATAGGCAACTTTACCAACCATTTGAAAGATTTCATAGGGCTCCTCATAAAGAGGACTCAAATTCCCTTTCTTGCCTAATCTAACTACCCCTTTCATTGGCTAAATTTTCAAATACACCTTATCGCCTTCTTGAAACTCTAAATCCCTTCTCCTATGATTGACATAAGACTTTTGCTGACTATAGGACGTTTGGAACCGGTTCCTTATGATAGGAACATTCTCCGAAGTCTTATAAATCAAATCGCGACCAAGAAGCGAAGGCTCACCCACTTCAAACCACACTATACGAGACCTAAACCTCCTACCATACAAGGATTCCTAGGGAACCATGGAGATGGATAAACGAAAAATATTATTATAAGCAAACTCCACCAAAGACAAATGCTTATACCAATTTCCTTTTGAAATCAATGATACAATCCCTAAGCATATCCTTAAATGTATGAATAGTACGCTCCACATGAATATCCATTTGGGGATGAAAAACGGTACTCAACTTCACTATAGTACCCAACCCTTTTTGGAATGACCTCCAAAACCTATATGTGAATTGTATACCCCGATACGGTATGATGGATAACGGAATACCATAGCGACACACACTCTCACCTATGAAGAAAATATCATAATCTTTCGCCAAATAAGTACACTTGATGGGAATAAAATGAGCGGACTTGATCAACCTATCTACAACCACCCATATTGAATCATATGAATTTTGAGTCCGAGGTAAACCCACTACAAAATCCATATTGATGTGTTCCCACTTCCGAGTAACAACTTGGATTTCTTGTAGTAAGCCACCCCGCTTTTGATGTTCGGCTTTTACTTGTTGGCAATTTGTACACTTAGAGACAAAATCTGCTATTTCCTTATTCATTCCTTCCCACCAATATACTTCCCTAAGGACATGGTACATTTTTGTCAAACCCGAATGAACGGAGTAGAGGGACCCATTGACTTTTTCAAGTATTCAGTCCCTCAACCCATCTATATTGGGAGCACATAGTCTTCCTTGGATCCTTAAAATACCATCCCCTTTAAGGAGAATGTCTCATTAAGCTTGCCAAGGACCGATTCCTTAAACTTGATCAATGATTTTTCAAGGTGTTGTTTGGACTTCACCTCAACTACCAATTATGACTCGGGTTATTACGCATCATGAAACCACCATTCGAAGACAACCTTACACCTAACCTAGCCTACCTATGAACATATTTCACTAGGTCTTCCTTGGATTCATCAATGTGAGATACACTACCCATAGTCCTACGGCTTAGGGCATCCGCAACCACATTAGCCTTGTCGGGATGATAGAGGACACTCATGTACAAATCTTTCAACAATTCTAACCACCTTCTTTCTCGTAGATTCAACTTCTTTTGGGTAAACACATATTGGAGACTCTTATGGTCAGTAAAGACATAACATTCACACCGTACAAGTAATGCCTCCATATTTTCAAAAAAAACACCACGACCTCTAACTCAAGTTCATGAGTGGGATACTTTCTATCATGCACCTTATGTTGCCTAGAAGCATAGGCTATCATTTTTCCATATTGCATAATCACACACCCTAAGCCCACACATGATGCATTATAATACACAACAAACCCCATTTTACCCTTCAGTAAAGTCAACACCGGAGCGGAAGTAAGCCTATCTTTTAACATTTGCAAACTTTTCTCACATTCTGAACACTAAAATTTCTTGCATTTTTGGGTCAAAGTATTGAAGGGAAATTCAATGGACACAATATTATCCACGAACCTCTGATAATAACCTGCTAGACCCCAAAAACTCCTAATGTTGATAGGAGTCAATGATCTAGACCAGCTTTTCACCGCATCTATTTTCCTTAGGTCTACCTTACTCCCTCACCAGAGCTGACATGTCCAAGAAATGCCACCAACCTCAAACGAAAATCACACTTCCTATACTTGGCAAACAATTGATGTTCCTTAGGGTTTGCAATACCACCCTAAGTTGACCCATATGATCACCCTTATTCTTCGAATATAACAAGATATCATCAATGAAGACAATGACAAATGAATCTAGGTAATTTTGAAACAATTTATTCATTAGGTCTATAAATGCTTTCGGAGCATTAGTGAGACCAAAAGACATTACTAAGAACCCGTAATGACCATATCTAGTCCGAAATGCCGTCTTTTGTACATCCTCACCTCTCATCCTAAGTTGGTGGTACCCCTACCTTAAGTCAATTTTAAAAGATTAACTTTCCCCTTGAAGTTGTTCGAACAAGTCGTCAATCCGAGGGAGAGGATACTTATTCTTTATAGTGACCTTGTTGAGTTGGCGGTAATCAAGACACATTCTCAAAGACTCATCCTTCTTTTTTACAAACAGAATCGGAGCACCCTATGGATAAATACTAGGTCTAATGAAGCCTGTGGCTACTAAATCTTTAAATTGAGCCTTCAACTCTTTCAATTTGGTCGGAGCCATCCGATAAGGAGGAAATGAAATTTGATTTGTATCGCATAGCAAATCAAGACCAAAATCAATTTATCATCTGGGAGGAATACTAGGAAGGTCATTAAGAAAAACCTTCAGAAATTCACTCACTACGCGGACCGACTCAATGGGAGGAATTTTGGAGTCTAGATCTTGGACTCTGACAATATGGTATAGAAAACCATTAGAGATCAGTTTGCATGCTTTTAGACAAGAGATGATGCAACCTCTAGGAATAGAGTTTCCCCTCTTCCACTCTACAGCGGGTTCATTTGGAAAGTTAAACTTCACCACCCTTGTCCTACAATCAATAAAGGCAAAAAATGTATGCAACCAATCCATGCCCAATAAAAAGTCAAAATCTAGCATATCTAGTTCTACTAGATAAACATGAGAAAATCTATTGGGCAATATTCTAGGACAATTTCTATATACCCTTTTTGCAAAAAATGACTCACCCACCAGAGTAGACACTATAAAAGGTTAATGCAAAATATCGGGTAAAATATCAAACTTTTAGGCTACTGGAGGAGTAAAAAAGGATAAAGTGGCACCCGGATCGAGTAAAGCATATACGTCAATATTAAATACTTTCAGCTTACTGGTCACCACATTGGGGGAAGTATCTTTATCACCCCTAGAGCGGAGAGCATAGAAGTTGCTCTTCTTATGAGCATCACTAGAACCACTTGCTTGAGCTTGAGCACCCTTTTACTGCCCCTTCAAATTTCGACAATCCGTCACCTTGTGACCATTCTTGCCACAACCAAAGCCATTTCTTCTTCCTACCAAGCACTCACCATGATGACCCTTTCCACATTTGGCACATGTAGTCTTCTCATTTGGAGATTTCCCACTTCTTCCCTTTGGGGCTATAGGCTTAGACACCTTATCATCACGAGCCTTAGGAAATTTGGATGGAACATGATTAGAGAACGTTTTCTTAAATCTAGGCTTGTATTGGATCTCAAGCATATTATTTATAGCACCACAATCAAATGATATTACCCTCTTAGCATCTCTACTCGTCGTCTTAGACCTTGACTCCTCCACCCTTCTAGCATTCACCATAAGACGGGAAATGTTCATGTTTTCATGTAGCATGACTGAGTGACACTCCTCTTGCAAGTCCTCCAACACTCCCGTCACAAAGTGACTCATTTGATCTCTAGGATTGGAAACCAAGGAAGGAGCATATTTGGACAGTTTAATGAATTTCAAGGAGTATTCATGAACACTCCTACCTCCTTGAGGAATGTTGGTGAACTCTACCAGTTTGGTCTCCCTCATCTCCCTAGGAAAGAACCGGTCAAGAAATGATTTCTTGCAGATCTCACAAGTCACCGTTCCACCCCTAATAGGCTTATTGTCCCTCCATTGAACATACCAAACTTGAGCCACATTTTTGAGTTGGTATGTGGATAACTTGACCTTCTCAGTAGTAGACAACCCCATAGCAAAGAGTATTTTGTAGACTTCAATAATGAACTCTTGGGGGTCTTCATCACCCTTTGACCCATAGAAAGTAGGATATTCATCCAAGTGAAATCACTTAGACGGGATGCCATGGTAGTAATTTGTTGATGAATTTAGGTTACAACCTCTCAATTAGATTGGGTCATCATATCTTGGGCTTGACTGGTGGCGGCTTAGGCCAATTGAATAAGGGCAGCCCGTATGTCACAATCTGTAAAATGTGGAGGATTGACCGGAGTTGGGTCGCCATCAGTATCTTCTTCAAGCGGAGGGACTTGATCACCATGGGGAGGATCTGCCGCATTGGAAATCTCTTCCTCAAGTCTCCGAGCCGTATTACGTCGAGTGTTTGTTCTTTCTATCAGCACAATAATATGATTTGATGCAAAAACATACCATAATTATACTCTAATGGCACGATATATGATTTCCAAGATAACGAGAGTTTTCTAGGCATCATGTAGGTTCCCGTCCATAAGTGTGGTGCACTTCACAATTATGAACACAAACTTACATAGGAGTGGTAGAGAGAGACATCGACTCTAACATAATTCAACCTTCTACTCTAATACCAAGTTTGTCACATCCGGGTTTTACCCCCTAAATGTAACCGACATAGTCACCCTATTTGAGGACTAAGACTAGCCTCTTAGTTTACATCATCACAGTCATAAGTCGAATTTAGCAAAAAATATAGAAATTTTACTTACTTTTACTTGGAGGTTTACATAGTCCTCAACATGCACATAATATATATATCGAGTATAAATAGACCCTTCGTATAGGAAGGTTACATAGCCTTCTACTTTTATTGCACATATATTTACATAAGATAGAACATAGTCTTAAAGATTATCTCATCTCATACTATATAAATATTATAGCAATTTGGGCATATCCCTACATCAATGTAAAGGATCTACATATAGACTTATACAATTCGTACTTAAATTAAAATAGAATATACATAACAGTCTTAGAAAACAAAGCAAATCCATAAACGAGATTCTAGCATCGCCCTCGGAAAGTGAGGACCTACCCACTTGGATGGTAGAGAATATCCAAGTCTTATTCAAGTCATCTTGAATGATCCTTCAATGATTGGAACCTAAAATTTTTGGAAAAAAGAAAGAAATGGGGTTACTAAATTACTTGTAATAAGTATGAGACCATACGCACATATAAGATCAAGACATAATAAAAAGGGACATTTAGTGAAACCATGCTATTTTACCTTTTTAAAAGACATTCAAAATCAAGCAAGTCATATTAAGTAACAAAACATGTTTACCAACCCAAACAAGAAATATGCATATCCACATACTTGAACCCATAATCTCATACAACCCTATCATCAATGAATAACATCACAGACATGAATAAGAGTTAATCATATAATAATAAACAAGACAAGTACTCACGAATTCTTGTCAAGTCAATAAGTTCAATGACCAAGAAAAGCCCCATAAAAACTTGCTCAATCAAGTAGACTCAACAAGAAACCATAAAAAATTTCCAACTTTAATAATATAATCCAATTACAAGTTCATATGGATAAATCATCATCATAAAATATCATTTATTTTGTAACATCAACATATTATCATCATATACATCATTATCATATACCAACAAAATATCAACTCCCTAAAGCTTCCATCATGGCCAACTAGTGCATGGCATAGATAGAGTCCCACACCCCTACCTAGTCTTAGTCAAACTTTTTAGTCATCTTAGTTAATTTACACTTCATTGCTTCATTTTAGTTTAGGGAACACTTACCTTAACTGACATAGACCATAAGAGATAAGTGTGGATCATGTGTGGTAAAACCTTACTCCGATGGAAGGTGGTCTATCGGTCAAAGTAAAACAAACATAAATGTAGCTTATTTCTAGGTGGATCCACTATCTAGTCTTCCTATGGGGGCAACATAGTTCAAGCACTAAGAGAGAGTATATTACCTCTTCATACCACTTTATAATTGAGGCCTCCTCTCATGGAAATTTATTGGATGACTATTCCTCTGTCACGTAGAACTATTGGGCAATCTTCCTCTTTGGGAAGTTATCACCTCCCATTGTCAAGTTCACTAGGTGCTAAGCTAAGTCCCTTTATTTAAATGTCTTTAAGTCTTTATTATTAATCATAACATAGTTTAGGTCATAGGATATAGCCCTTGTATATTCATCTTCATAGCTCAGTAAGAATTTCATGAGTATAGTCCTTTCATCACAATTCATATTACTGAGATTAACACATTATACATCGCTTCATAATAAGGCACATTGATATACATCACCATCCTTATAACATTTACATCTTAATCAACCTCACAACCATAATCAAGAAATTTCAATTCAACATCATAACACCCTACAGATCCTAAATAAAGCATACTCCAACACAACATCATGACTTAATCATAATTAACCATAAGTTGAAGTAAGGCATAGGGATTACAAGACTTACCAACTCTCCTTCATAACCCATCATCAAGATCTTACCATCAACCCTTTCTTAAATACCACTAGATCCAACATAATCATAATCTAATGATGAATATGATAATAAAGATAGAAGAGTCACTACACCATAATTCAATACTAAATCAAAGGAAAAAATAAGATACTTGTGTTAATTCTCATAACGTAGATCACTTCTCAAGACCTATTATTAAAGACTACAATTCTTCTTAATTTTCGAATGATTAGTGTAACAACATCATCTAATGGTGATTTAACCAATATTCAAGTCAATGAATCAATCACAACCTATTTCATATCATGATCAAACCTAGTTTAAGGCTTAAGGATCATGATCTTCAATTTAGACCAATCCATCACAAATTATTATAATAAAGTTAAAATATATTTTAATATATTCATTATATCCTAAATAAACCATAAAAAACTCAGTTCATAACATCAAACTCGTAATTGTATGAAACCCATTTTAAAACCCAACTTTTAGAAGTGCTTTGAAGGAGCCCTTTGAGGAAAGAAGTCTCAAAGGTGAATTAGATCACATACCTTAAGGTTTGATGAAGATTTCATGGTGAAGTATTCTCTTTACATCCCCTAAAATGTCCCCCTAGCTTGTCTTCAATGGTGTCTTCCAAATAGAGAGAGAAGAGAGAAGGAAGAGAGTTTATTTTGTGAGTTATGTTTAGACCAATGAGGATTGGGGAATTTATATTGGGGCTTAATTAACTTAATTAGACTCCCTTAAACACCTAATTAACCACCTAACCCCATAAATAATTAAATGAACTAACTTAAAACCGTTCAGGTAAACATGACCCTCACAAAAAGTGACCCCAAACGGCGGGCCATTTGTGAGGCGACAACATGGTCCCCCTCGTTCCTCCACACTCATCGTTTTGGTCAAAGGCTTGTGCAAGCGAGGTCTTCCCCATTTTTTCTAAGTGTCAGATCGATGCCCCGTCGATCCACACATGAGCCTTTCCTTAGCTTTCATGGTTGCACACTGCGTAGGCAGTGTTGTCTCCTTCGTACTAGGGTCCTCCTCCAGGGCCCTTGGTTGGTCCTTGGGGAGTTGTACAAGTATATTTCAATGACGAATCACCTTAAACACATGTTATACACCCTTCCACTTAATTTCATGAATTTTCTACTCCTAAAAGCTAGTTAAATAGGCTAAGGCATGATAGTACATCCTTCAACAAAATTTCCAAACGTCATGTATGCTCATTTTTTATTTCTAAACCTCTGAAATGACTTAAATTCATTATTATAGTCCTAACAACAGTGCCTAGACCTCAATAAACCTATGTTAGGATCTACAACAAGTCTTAGATTTTTGAAATGCTACACCCTTCTTTCCATTGATTATACCAAATTTGAGTCGCACCTTTTACTTGATAAGCGGTCTACTCAGCCTTTTCCACCAGCATAACTCCCATGTTCATCAAAATCTAATAGACCTCATTAATAAAATCTTAAGTATCTTGCTCAACCTTAGAACCATGAAAATCTGGAGGATTCATGTTGTCCTTCATTTTTGAAGTCGTTGTGTTCACACTTACGCTTGCGGGAACCACAACCTACCTATTTTCTTGGGCTATCAAGGCTTGATCCAACACTCAAAATGCAGCCCTAACTCCGCGTTGGACACTTGTTCGGCCATAGAATCAATCGAAACTTGAGGAGATTGAGGAGGAGCTTATATTCCACATTCTACCTGACATTTCTTTCAGCATAAGCTCTTGGGGTAGAACTATCCTGAAGAACATAGGAAAAGGATCAGGAGAGAGACCTTATAGATGTAAACTCTACTGTATGACTTAAGAGTAATGGAAGAAATGGATTTTTGGAATCATCTCGTAGCCTCTCATTCATAAATATGGCGCATTTCACACTTATGTATAAGACTTTACTAGGCATGGCTTATGAGAAATCCTTGGACTATTCTAAACCTTGTGCTTTGATTACCATGTTTTTTCACGACCCAAAGGTAACCTTAGATGTGAAATGGAGCATAGAATTCCTATGGAATCCATACAAGCCACAGCTCTCATAACATAAGAAATAGAACAATATGAGTACAATCATGGTCCAAGTCCAAAACATTTTATAAAACAAAATGTGAAAGTATAAACTCTTATGTCATCATAACCATCTAATACAATAGTATGAAATTTGGCCTAGCCCATATATCATGTA